CTTTTCTTTCTGCACTTTTCTCGGATTTTTCAAGCGAGATACAATTTATCATTTAGAGACAAGAGGAGCTCTCGCAAGCCGCGCGCAGCTCTCTGCTTTTTATCTCGGGCTCGTACTTCCACAGACGTATGTATAAAAAACATTTCGCAACGAGACGTGCGCTCTGCTTGTTCATAAAAAAAGTTCGCATGTAAGACAGGTTTATTATTACCTTCCAACGTCATGTCAAAAATGAATCACGACTCCGAGCGGCCCACGAAGAGACGTACATGGTTTCGTCGTTTAAATTTCACGTTTATACCCATTCGATTGACGTTCCTAACTGCTGTTATAGAGATTGTAAGACGTTAGACGATTCAAGAGTTTTACGAATTTGAATGAACATGAACTAGGGAACTAATGATGGTCTATAAAATTCATAGTTACGGTTTTTGATTAAATTTATGTAATCGTAGAAACACATTAATCGATTTCATTACCCCAAGACGCGTTCAAATATCTTTACGTTTATGAGTAACATATTAACGTTCTTCTCGAAGTTTTGGTTCAACATTATGAAACCTGTAATTTAGATATTTCCTGATCAAGTACCTATTACTATTTTACACTCAAGTAAAAGCCCCTATTATCATCTTATATTCACGAATCAAATAAATAGCAAAGGGAGGTTTATACTTTGATTATAACATTATTATAAAAAAAGTTACACTTATTCAATTCCGTTTGAAAAATGCATAAAATATTATTAACAATTTACATATAATTAAATATTCAAAGAGTACATCTTTGTAAATTGCCCAAGCATCTCCAATGTTTTTTAGAGCATTTTCGTAAATCAAAATTTGAAAATTTTCCTCGTCAGTAGCTTTCGGGCAATGCCAGAAGTGACACAATGCACTTTCATCATCGCGTAGCCGACAATCAAAGCATCTTCATTTTTTTGTCACTTAATCAAAGCGTGAATATTCTTTCGAGCTTTTGATTCTCGAGCTTACCCAGCGTGTATACATGTGCACGTGTAAGCTGGGCTAAAGAAAATTTAACCAGGCCTACATTCGCGTCGACTTCATTAAATTCGTCATTCAAAAATACTATGACTGCGAGTCTAATACAAGAGCAGTAGTAGCAGCAGCAGCAGCAGCAGCAGTAGGCGAGGTTCAACTGTTGAAGCATTCAGGGACTGCCTAACAAAGACCAGATTCTTCCGTATTGTCTTTTCCCTCCCACCGAGTCACCTAGGTTCTTTTTTTTTTATTTTCACAACTGTGTGTAGCTCGTGCTTGCTCGCGCGCGTCCGCGGAAACGTTCAAACGAATGTAGGTCAGGCTTGGAAATAACGAAAGCCCGCATCCATGGGCTCGTGTATATAAATAGTCCTGCTTTACACATTTTACGAAGGAAAAGGTGTGAATGGCATCTTTTCTGCTTGTTGTTTCACTTACTTTGCTAATGACTCTAGAAAAACACAAGTAAGTCTGGAGTGTGCAAGTTAAAAAATGTTCGCATCGTTGTATCATCAAAATAAATTTGTAAATTAATAAAACTTTTTCGTCACGGAGGAGTTATGATTACGCATTTTTTACGTTTACTTCTTAAGCGATCAAAATCGTGACAATGCTCGAGCTTTTTACCACTAATATTCGGTTTGCATGAATTATAAGCTATTTATTGTTTTTCGTCAGAGATGAGAAGGCTATTTGTTATCTCCGTTGACATAAGAGTCTTGGCAAGTTGAATGATAATATTGATCATCGCTTTATCCCAAAATTCTTGAAATTATTCTTATTCCCTATAAATGGACTAGTCGAATGCTATTATTAGCTCCATCTAGTCAAAGCAAACGTCTAAAGCTAATATTTCTTTAAAGAAAAAGAGAGAGAAAGAGAAAGAGAGAAAACGATTTTCGTATGTAGATTTATAAGTGTGAGCAAAAAATCAACGTTATTTTTGATTCTCTTGTGGTTATACAGTTCATCTCGAGAACGGCATCGTCACAGCTCTGTAATTATATTCAAGTTGACTTAAGAAAAATTAGCATCTTCTATCATAGGTCATTCTGACGTACATTTGACGATCCGAATGAAAAAATGACTCATAATAGCAACGCCTTCATTAAATAATACGCAAAAACACGTTATATAAGACTCGATGAAAATTAAAATAACGCGAAGAAAGAATAAGATGTGTCTTCGGAAGAAAATGTCTCGACTTTTGCAGACGACAAGCCGTGTGATTTCATTTCGTATTCAAAGGCAAAACTTTTGGCTGACGAAGAAGTTGCTCGCCTTTCGATACGCCAACTGATACAAACGTTTATCGAGTCGTGATGTCGAACCACACGGACGTGTTCAGTGAGATTCAAATGTGTCGGGGATCGAGTTATATACGTGGACACGTGCGATCGGACGCGCATATATATTCTGTTCGTGAATGACAACGACGCCCAAGTTCGCAATTTCAGCTCATGATCTTCGCGTTTCAAGGATTAAATGCAGCTCGTTGGATTGTCTGACGTGCACACACTCATTCCGTAGCAGTACGATTTACCAGCTGTATATAGTTAGCATGCGGACCAAAGTAACGCTCAACGACGCAGTCCCGAGTGTTGGCAATCGTTTGGGAAAACAATCACGATTCGCTCGGACTCGCGAGTTCTCGCATCAATTTCATTCGACTCGGGAGCGGTAAAAATCAGACTCTCGTACTCGGCTCACGTTTTGCAAAGTTCAGCGTTTAGCTAATCAGTCGTTAATACGTTAATAATCGCTCGAGCAACATGTTTACTCGATCGTTTTCTCTATATTAATCGACTACTAATCTTTCCTCGCAAGCTTGCGTACACACAAAGGCATTAAACAAGCTTATAAGCGCGCGTAGCGATGGAAGCGTGCTTGGAATCTGCTTGGCTGAGGCACAACACGGCAGCCGATGTTTATGTGTGCGATACGTATGCTACGTGTCTGTGTGTATGTGTTTGCACCGGTTGAGCATGAAATGAAAGCAAAAAGACGACGACAACGACGACGACGCATCGTGGCTGCATCAGCAGCTAGCGAGGCGAAGGTACAAAAAAAGAACCGTTCCAGCGTGAGAAGATATATACAAGCTCACGAGAGTGCCCGAGAATGTGCATAAAGAACGGAATGATCGATGCAAATTTCACGGGACGACGGTCATCGAGCTTCTTTCTCTTTCTCGATTTTCTCTTTTTCCTTTAGCTCCTTTTTAGTTCCAGCCATGCAGCAGCATAGGCAGGCTGTAACGAGCTAATGAAGAGACAAGAGCCAACCAACCTTGTGTGACAATCTGTAGTATCGTTTGTTCCACGCCTGAAATGTTACCCGTATGCAATGGGTTTTTATAAATCGTAAATATATATAGGAAAAAATTCCTCTACGTCGCATATTCTGCAGTTTTTTTATAAATAAATATAAGCGTGAAATTGACTTTTCTGTATAATTCCTTCTTTTTTTTATCAATTCAAGCTGTTTAATCCATCTTTATCGTAATTTTACTCTATTTAATTCGGAAAATGTCTAATATTTATTTTATTTTTACTCGTACAATTTTTCTGCATTCGAATTCTTTATTCAACTCGACAATTTGTTAAAAAGTGTGGACGAGTGTTGTCATGCCCGAGTTCGCATGGAAGGGACATTTCATAAATTTATCCTGTGTCAAGTCGCTACACATAACAGCAGCGGCACATACACGTGTATTGATTCATATAAAATGTACAAGATCAATAGACATCGCGAGAAACATTTTCATGCAATGTTTCGCCGCGCGAGCGACACACGACGACTGTTTGTCATGCTCTTCAAGTCGTATCTATCCATCTCTGTATTAATATCTAGCTATGCACGTGTGTGTGTGTGTGTGTGTATGTAGGTTTATCACAGAAATATAAGGCATTAATACACACATTCACAGGTACACACTGGAATTTCGAACTACGTGTGTATATAGAATGGCCAGGCCATCCAGGCGTATACGGCCTGTGCGACTCTCTCGTGTTCGCGACAAATTTTCGATCAATATTGATGCTTCACGTGCGTTGGTGGTATATATGTATACGTGTGCAGCGGGAAATGATATGTAATTTACATTACATGCGAAGGCAAATAACCTATATCATGAATGCGGCTCCGAGGGGGGTAGGCGTCAATCCGTCAAAACGTTTCCAATGCAAATGACTAGCATCGTTAATCATTCGTCATGTTTATCAAAGAGTGTAATGTAGTCAGTAGCTGCTTCTGCTGCTGCTGCTACTGCTGTGGCGGCGTGGGTGGATGGCCGATTTAATGCCCGCGAAGCCATGAAAATTATTTCCAGCTCTCGGGAGGCTAAAATTAAACAGTATTTAGTTGGGAAGTTAAATCGATTGAATAAACAAGAATTATTTTGCAGGAAATATAGATATTTTGCTGGCGTAGCAGCACTGAGAGAGAAGTCGCTGTGGCGTGTAAAATAGCGCCACATGGCTCGTGCATCGATATTTTCCATCCGATGAGATATTTATGAATAGTTATGCATAATAATGGGGGCGACCACTGTCATTTATCCCTACTCTAAGAATCCTCGGGTCCTCGTCGATGATGTCGTCCAACCAGAGGCGCTGATTAGCCGCATGGATCAGTAGTAAATACCAGCCAGTGGTCAGGCGGCCGACCAACCATAGAGTCCCGCTCTCCTGCACACACTCGGATCTGCATCTGCTCGAAGCTGCATAAGAACAATGCGTTACGTCGGGTAATACGCGGCAACGTTTGCATCTGCACCCTCTCGACTTTTTCTCTCTCTCGGTGGCTTTCTTCCGACTCCTTGGTCGCGTCGAGCCGTCGAGAGAGAGAGAGAGATAGAGGCGGGGGGGGGGGGGGATACTTTGGCGCGCTCGCGCCGTACCGCCGGAGTCCGTCGAGGCGCGCGCGCGGAGGAGAGGGCGTCAGTATATTTGCGCAGGGCCATCCAATGGGGCGGCAGTTTCGCCGCGGCGAGCGTCGCGTCGGCATCTCTCGTTTCATCCGTCGTCGAGTCCAGTGTCGTCCGAGTACTCGCCACTGCAACAATACATTTGCGCAAAATTTCCATCTGTTGTCTGCTGTAGTCGAGTGTCGCGATTACGACGATATAGCGTCTCGTTTCGCGCGCGCTTTTCGCGCACCGCTCGAGTTTCGCGAGTGACTGCGACGAGTTTGCAACAGCCTAAACCGGCTTAACACTGAGCTTTTGGTTATTTACCTTTTTTTTCTCGCACTCTCTCTCGGACGTCTTTATTGTTGTTGTTGTTGTGATACGTACACATATTGTGCTGGAAGATAAGAGTAGAGGGTTACGGAGAAGAGACCTTCGAATTTCTCAATTAAGTGTGAGTAAAGTTTATCGAGTGATTGTGTTATGTGTTGATTGTGATATCTATGCAAATATCCCCGATTATTCTCCTCTGATTTCCATCAATCCATCGACGAATCGTAGCCGGCTCAGCGGCCACCTGCACGACGAGACGATCCGTCAACTGATTACAAACGTTCGCATTTTTTTCTGTTATTTTTCAATTTTTTTTATTTTTCTTCATTACCTACGCATACGTTTTTGGATTATTCGATCAAAATTAACTCGCCATCGGCTATACGCGTGCATCTCTCGACTATAATTAAAACAAAGTTTATTTTTTCAAGCGTTTAGCATACTTTTTGTTGTTGCAACTTTCATCCTGTTTGCTTTTGAGCTTTATGATCGGTTTCGCGTTATTATTATCTGCGCAAATAACGTTTATTGTTCGTCAATAGATTTTTTCAAAATAATTTATCACTAGCCTTCGACGGTTGAGAAATCGGACGAACAATAAACACAGAGAGCGATTTTGCAGCTAAATTTTCTGAGCACGCACGAGGTGCGCATACGTCATTACATAATTTCATTATCGATAATTCGCGCGTGCCTTTAAAATTGTAAAGATGTGACGATAAATTCACGTGCCTACGAGATCCGTGCATCGAAGCTGTCGACTCTTGGTTCGCTTACGCTCTCGTATATTTATTTAATAACGAATAACAATAGCCCGCGTGCCCTAAATTTATTTAGTGCCAGTTCGATGTATCTCTTTCTATCTCATTGTATATAGATGCGAGTACGTATGTGTACGGCCAAATCCAATTCTAACTTTAACATATCCGTCGCACACACGAGCAGCAGCAGCAACACATACACACACACTAATACACGAATGCACACTTATACGGCTCGCGTTCACGGACACAGACGCGTGTATATTGCAGAGTCAAACACTCGCGCGCGCGCACACACGTATATACATAAGCGAGCGCATAAAAGCTCAACTTCACGTTGGCTGAGTGAATTTTCGTATGCATTATTAAAAAATAAGGGAAAGAAGCGTTGACTCTTGCAGCGTGAATGTCGACGATTTTCCTACATCAGCTTATGCACAGCAGCACAGGGCGGAAGCGATCCAATATACATAATCTATTTTCAATTTTATCATTTCAAACATCGTTAATTGTAAAAACATTTTTGCGAGCTGAATAACGCGTTCGCCAGTTAATGCTCGCGCGAGCTATCGTGTACAGTCGAAATCGTCTTTGTACAAATGCTCATCGTTGCATTAATCCTAAAGCTCTTTTTTACACACACACACTCGGCAGACGTACACACGCTCGCTCGCTCACACAGGTAGCTCACGGTATAAGCGACGTCGACGACGACGACAACAACGATGCGCCTGGCAAACTTCTTCGTCTATTTTCCATCTAGCTTACGTAAATATATAATAAAGCTCGCGTATATACAAGGTGCGCTTGTAACCATACTTGAGTTTATGTGCTTATACGTATAAACATCCGAGCTTACTTCCTAATCCTGAGGATAGACTTTCGGGCTACATTAAAATAATAACGATTGTTTATTCAACGATGGAACATTCAGCCAAGAGCCAGGGAGCGACATTGCGCGCAACTTCGAAACTGGCTGAGATACGTCGGGCATTCACTCGCTTATACAGACGCGCTTGGCGTTTCTCTGTGTGTGCCTGTGTGTGTACGCGTGACCGAGCGAGTGTGTTTGCAGCTCTTCTCTATAGTATAGTTGTGCAGCTAGCTCTGGCGCGTCACGAATATCTTATTATACGCGTATTATCATGTGCGCTCTACCCTGGCTCGTTTCGCTATCTATAAATACGCCTTGGGCTCGACGAACAGAGCGAGAAATACGCACTGGCGCACGTGAATATTATATGTGTGCGCGTAAACTCGCTGAGCTGATCGTACGGTGCGTGTAAATCGATGTAGCCATCTTCCGCATCTTCCGCCGCCGACGATATTTCACGACGATCTATCGTTGAAAAGCTATCTCAACGGATACTCCATGCTTCAACGTTTCAAGTGTATATAGCTATAACCGCGCAAATATTCATCCATGAAGTATATAAAAAACAAAGTATGGCCTGGAGCGATAACGCATCGATTCACCTTTTTTTCCAACGGAGCTTTTTCTTGTATTCTACCCTCCAGCATACGAGCATAATATATCGCCATATACATCAAAGTTGTAATCTTTAATCAAGCATAAGCAGGAAAAATTGCGGAATGTGCTTTGTATATAATACCAGCAAAGCACGTCCGCACATCGTTCGAACGAAACAGTAGTTCACGCGTCTACATTCTCAAGTGCGCATAAAGATGTAAGCAGAGCTTTTTCAAGCTTTTCGATCCTGCTATTAACGATCGACAAAGTGTTTCATGCAGCCGTTATAGTGCCATGTTACAGCATTTCCAACATGTATATTCGAACATGTCGATGGCGCTCGACGTATTAGACTTTGATGATTGATCGTTGAATGATGTATCTGCCGAAATCCTGAAGCTACATATGCGTATTGTAGATAACAAATATTTTATCTCTCTTATATTGATTTATTCTCCATATGCTGAATGATAAAAAGTTTAGATTTTCGAAGCTTTATTAAAAAACTATTTTCGCAATTATTTCCATTCAATATTGTACTGATTAATCAAATATGGGAAGCTTTGGTTGAAATAGTTTACCAATATCGTGATAACCGTGTCTATCTGTTTTTTTTTTTTAAATTCAAATAAAAAAGCGCTACAGTTTCCGGATGCATTATTACTTCGATAACTCTGAAAAATTTGTCATTGGCGGCTTGCTATGCGACCGAACTAGTTATAACTTCATTAAACTTTTTTCTTTGTAATTCTTCTTTCGATTTTCTTTGCCCGCATCCGACGCCTTTTTGTTCTTCTCGCGTACCGACTTTCATCGCTTTTGCCGATTCTTCGCACTTGTTACACTGGCCAAAGTAACGCTTCATTTTTTATGCATTGCCATCAAGATATTTTACGTTCCGCTTGATGCAGCACACGGAAAAAAGGAGGCCAAGCTCGAATTTTTTCCCATGTATACATTTTTTATGTACACAAGCTACCTTGAACCCCGTTTGAACGTAAATTTGTAATAAAATTTGTATTTGCCGGTAAACATGGTCAGATGTTGCGTCGCTTTGATAAAACAAATTTATAAATCACAATTACAAAAGTTAATATTGATATTTTGATATTTTTTATATTAAAAACTCAAATAATTACTCTTCAATAATGATTTATATGAATGTCAGATATTTTATCAGAAAATCAATTCTATCGACAATAACGTAAACACCATATGAATACAGCTGTAATCAGTATCAATAGAGATTATTAGCACTATAAAAAATTGATGTATTGATTGAAGTGCAATAAATGTGAAAAAAATTTACTTCGTTTCAAATATTTACATTTTAAATTTTCTTTTCTGCGCGTGAATGTATCTTTTAACCTTGAACGTTACCTTAAACGAAAATTACTAAATCAGCTATGAATCTTTTTGACTACATGAAAACATGAAAAAAATTTCGAATAAACAGCAGGAAAGTCATTATTCTTTAATAAAATTGGCCACGTTGCACATTATGTATAATGTGTGTGTACGTAAGCATCAGTGGCTCACATATCAACGAGGCAAGGCCTAGCAGTACTATGTCAAACGATTTGTAGCTGCATCAGTAGCAATGAAAGTCGAGAGCAAGAGAGTCGTGGGTCAAGGTTATACCGGGTAGGGAGCCAGAGAGAAAGAGAGAGAGAGAGAGTAGAGAGGAGCTTTTGACACACATCGACGCGAGAGGCGGTGGCGCCAGGGCACGCGCGCGACCAAGCAGATTCGTCCGTTTGCTTGCGGGCTCTAAGAGATGCACGCGGAGGTCGGCGGCCTCTTGTCTTTTCTCATTTTTTACCGCTACTGTAAAGGCCATTTCTAATGCGAGTGATTTAGGCTCGATTAATTTGTTATTGTTTTTTCCTTTGTTTTCTTTTCCATTCTTTCGTGAAGGGGAAGTGAAGGGGATAAATTGAGACTCTCGTATGTTTTTATTCGATATTTTTTTAAAGCAAAGATGAAACGGACATTTTTTGTGTTTGTTTAAGAAGATGAATAATTTGAAAAGTTCAAATTTACTAATGTTTAAAAAAAAAACGAATGTTCAACACATAAGCAAAAAATTTTTCCGACTACCTCGAATATAAATTTCCAAGTGCTTGCACGTGTTGCTGTTGCAGCACAACATGTAATTTTAGCAAATAAAATTAATTACAACCCCGATGGCGGGGTTTTTTCCGAGAAAGTATAGTTCATTTTGTACTATACACTTTATTCATTTGGTATTGTGTTGTGTTCAAGCTTACATTGTCGTAAAAAAAAGTTCATGCCAAGCTCCGTTTAATTGAAACTCCGCTTGCCACTCTTTTTTCCAGACATTACGTAATTAATTGTAGACAAAGGACTAATTTTTTCAACGGAAAATTTATAGACACTTTTGCTATTCGAATCGTAATTTTTCGAACATTAGCAAACTTGAAACTGTGATTCATACCGACACCACTCGTCGCGAGCATGTATCATTGAAACTTAATCCATTATCTCTCTTCGAACGCGTATAAATGGGCGAACGGCAAGGTGAGAAGAAAAACAGAGAAAGAGAGGAAACTCTGCACATTATTTCTCACGTTGGAATTCCCGTACTTTATCCCCCCTCAGAGCTCGTCGTCTCGCGAAAATTGCTTGCACTCGAAAATTTCTAGTTTTTATGCCAAGCTCGTATTTACACTTGCATCTTTCCTTCGTCACTGGCGGCGCATGTGCCAGTGGTTAACGTCGATGCCTATCTCATTGATTTTTAAACTTTTTTCATTTGAAATCGTTGCCTATACTGCACCTTTCGACAGCGCGTAGAAGAGAAAAAGCACCGTCGGCCAATGGATTATTTTATACCTCGCACAGTTACGAAATTTTTTTCATTTCGAG